TAAATTGAAAATAAATAAATAAATAGAAACCACGCAAAAATAAATAAGATAAGAATTTACATATAGATCTCAAAAAGATATGACAATATCTAAATTTGAATTATGATTTAATAATATAATTATCTATTTTTTTATGTATATCTATCCAAATTTTAAATCACTTAATAGGACAAATTAATTAATTTTTAAGTCTTATTTAAAGAATAATTTGATTAGTCATCTCAATTCCTAGATTTCACTGGCACTTGCGGTGGAGCTGTCGGATTAGGTGGAGCGAGGTCTAAGTTGTTGGGGGTTGTATCCTACCACTTCATAAATTTATTTATTTTTTAATTATATTTTTTTCCCTGTGTGATTCTCTTTCTCTATTGTTGGTTTGGTTTTGGTTTCGATTTTAGTGAGATTTATGTGTTGGTTTGGTTTTGGTTTCGATTTTAGTGAGATTTATGTGTTGGTTTGGTTTTGGTTTCGATTTTAGTGAGATTTATGTGTTGGTTTGGTTTTGGTTTCGATTTTAGTGAGATTTATGTGTTGGTTTGGTTTTGGTTTCGATTTTAGTGAGATTTATGTGTTGGTTTGGTTTTGGTTTCGATTTTAGTGAGATTTATGTGTTTGTTTACAAGTTTACATGGTGGAGAAGAATTATTGGTGATGATGGTTGTAATTGAAGTATCTATGCCCATTACAAGGTTTTTGATCAAATTTTATTTTTTTCAATGAAAACCGTAAAATTAAAGTTAAAAAATGGGTATCGAATGTTTTATTTTTTATTGTCATTTTTTTATAGAAAATATGAAAAATTATTGGGAATTCAAGATTGTACTATAACATTAGATTTTTGTATAACTAGGTAAATTTAAAATTTTTAAATATCATTATATTTTTTATTTTTATCCTCTTTCTTTCCTATTATACGATTACTACTATTTGTTAGTTTGTTAATCATAATTCAATTAATTGAAAATGAAAACTTAGTATAATTTTTGGTAGGCATGAGGTTCGATTAATATGAAAAATTCATTTTTGGTAGCTATGAAGTTCAATTAATTCATATATAGTTATTGATATCCGATTAATATGATTTTTGGTAGGCATAAAGTACTCAACAAACTCTACAATATGAACGATTTAAATCATAAAAATAAGACCATAATACAGCTCAAACGGAGGCACCACAGTCACTGCTGTGCTAGGGACCCCTGTTCCTGTATATAATAGCATAATATGTAGGAATAATCTCCAAATATAATTTCTATTTTTTTATGTGATTAAAATAGTCCATCTTAAAATAGTACATAGAGGTGTTAGATGGCTACTTTTATTCCCAAAAAACCCAATTTATTTTTTTATACTTTTTAATTTTTTAAATTGTTTATATCCACAAAACAAAATTGATAAACACATATCCAAAAGATACATATTTTTTTATTTTTTATTTTTTTAATTGATAAGATATTTACAAATAAAAAATGTTTGACATCTCCAAAAAAATTTATAAAATCCTGTGCGTGCATTAATTTTTATTTAATTAAAACGGCACCGTTTTACGAATAGAAGACGTTTGTATGTGAATGTGGTTATTGTGAATGAGAATATGAATATCAAGTTGGCTTATATGCCCAGATTCCTATTTTGGCTCAAATAGAGGGGCATCATATTTTGGTGACTCCTTAATGTTGTTCAAATGATTTGTGTGAACATTTTTTTTTTGCACAATGATTGTTGACTATCATTTGATAAGATTTTACTATGTGCATGGGAGTTATTATTTCATATTAGTGCTATTTTTTAGTTTTATTATAGGTATTTTTTTAGTTTAGTAACATAAAATCAGCATAATTTTTTTTTTTTTAAAAAGCGCTATCATGGCGTTTCTAAAAACGTCGCTAATGGTTGGATTTTTCTTTGGCGAAAAGAGATAAGACGACGTTTTAAAAACGTCGCTAAATGTAACTTTTAGCAGCGTTAAACGCCGCCTATAGTAATATAGCGACGTTTCTAAAGCGTCACAAAGTTATAGCGACGGCCGCATCTTCGGCGTTTGGTGCTAAACGTCACAAAAGGTTTTGATGGCGCTTTTGTGACCTTTAGCAGCGTTTAAAAAACGCCGCTAAAACCCTCATTTCCAACAGTGGTGGACAAGTTTTGAAGATGAGATTTGGAGAAGATGGATGGATGGTGATGGGAGTGAATACATTCATAATTCGTAACTCATGATGTAGTGAGTGTATGCGTTTAATTGCAAGATGAGATATCTCAAAATTATTAATGTCTTTTTTAATAATTTAATTTGAGATTATTATTGTAATAAAAAAGTAAAAAAATGAGGGTCCAAAACTGATAAGGTGCTAATAGCAGCTCTTTATTTTTAAACCCTATAAATTATTTTTTGTATGTACTAAGTAAAATATATAATAAAAGTATTAATGATGTGTAAGTAGAATCGCCTAAAAAATAATAAAAAAATTGTGTCTTTTTATGCTGACGAAAATGCCCTTCATCGTGAATGGTTATCCCCAAACGGTCCCCTTCCTTTTTGTCTTCTCGGTTCCCTTTTTGCTTCTAGTGTGAAAATGCCACTTCATAGCTTCCTCTCCCCACTTCCATGCTTTCCTACACCACCCACAGCCCTCTCTCTCTCTCTCTCTCTCTCTCTCAGAGTTTGTTTGTGTACATGTCTTTGAGAGAGAAAGGGGAATAAAGGAGGAAAGCAATAATGAGTACAGGAACAAGTACCTTTGTAATCAGATGGATTGACTTTCTGACAATGGCATATCTCCCATTTCAGTTCCTCTTCCTTAATTTCCATTTGATTCTCTACTATGTTGTTTAATGATCCTGATTTTTATTTTTCCTTATATGCACTTTTCTTCTGCTGGTGATAAGCTTTCCCTATTGGGTTTTGTGTCTGTATGTTCTTCATTAGCCATGCCTGCTTAAAATCTTCTTCATTTCTGTTGGTTTCGCTCAGTGTTGTAATTTTTTCTTGTTACTGTTTTGAATTTGGGTTTCTTGGTACAATAGTTTACTATTGTTATTGTTGTTGATTGAACTTTGAATTCCTCAAATTTTGCTCTTCTGCTATATTTATTCTGGAATACCCAATTTCAATGGCTGTTTTTGGGTAGCTCTAGTGTTTGTGCAATATAAACAAATAACTTGTGAACATTTAGGAGAGAATTGTTTTGTTTTAATTATCAGTTGTTTATACTTCATTTTTTCATTTTTTTTTTTTTAGCTATTAGCTGTTGCTGTAATAGGTTTTGGGGTATGGATGAGCACTCATCATGATGGCTGTCGAAAGTCTCTCTCTCCCAGTTCTTGACCTCGGTGCCATCATATTTGTATCAGCCGTGCTGGGGACCCCCAGTGGGGGGCACCCCCAGCCCCACGTGGAAGCTGCACAAGACTTGAAGAAAAAATATATATATATATATATATATTTGGCCAATCACACCCCATTGGGGTCCTAGGGGTCACCCCAGTGGTGGTTTAATGCATTTTCCTATTTGTATTTGTAATGTAAAATCTGTACTTTCTTTTAGTTTTGGGATTTGTTCTTAGGTTGTTTTGGGAACTAGCTATTTTAGTTGAATTTTTAAGTTTTTATAAAAAGATGTACAAAAAAGTAGAAAGAATAGTTAATTTTTTGGTAGTGACTTTTTGACTATTTTAGGAAGTTTCCAAAACAACTAGTTTTATACTACAGCTTTACATAATTACACAAAGACCTGTTTTTGTTTGATATTTAGATCCCTAGTTGGTTTCTTGGGCGCATTGAAGAACAACTCCATATTGTTATGGATTGTATCCTTTTCATATGGTTTTTTTGATGGATTATATCTTAGGATGCCTTTTTTTCCATTTTTTGCACCTTCCTTAACTTTCTGGCTTGCAGTATTTGATCCTATTGTGCTTCATTTTGGTTGCAATCTTGGCCTTCACAGTTTTGGCATAAGTATTTCTGGTTCAAAAGCTGGATTGATTTTCACAATGACTTTAGATCCCAGAAAAACGAGCTTCCTATAATGATTTTTGTTTTTCCTAAACTGTTGTACCATTTCTTCATTAAAACTTCTTTGTCAATTTCACATACAATTTGAAGTTAAGTTTTTTGTTGTTATTTTCACAATACAACTGGCGTACAATTATAATTTTTCACGAGTACTTTTTCTTTTATTCCTTATAGCTAATCTTGTTCTTATTTTATGTTCATATTGTAATTTTGATTTGCTCTTGCGGTACTTGTCTGTCAATTTGTTGAGTAGGTTATTAGAATTATACCGTATTGCACTTTATTTCAGTTATCACTCTTGATATTGTAGTATACCACTTAATTCAATTACCTTGTTTGTAGAGAATGTTTTGCCATTTTCTTCTTTCTTTCCTTTCTTTGTGGGCAATTGCACATCTTATGTTCTCTTGATAAGAGGCCTCTATTATGCCTGTAGAGAACGGTGGTCCTTTTAGCAAATGGTGCAGTAGATTTGTCCAAAGACATAATCTTTAACTCCTCTACCTTGATTAAAGTTTCAAATGTATCTAAAATTTGGTAGCATCACGTAATTGCAGATTACGAATTACCATAGCAATTGTAAAGATCAACTTTGTGGAACTCCCTCGCTTGGTTAGATAAAGATAATTCCACCCTAGAACTAAAACAACTATATAACACAATGGAAGCATACACTTCTTCTCAAAGCAACCTCTTCAGGTCCTGGCTTGCTGGTCATGACTTTTATTTCCAAAAAACCCAATTTATTTTTTTATACTTTTTAATTTTTTAAATTTTTTATATCCACAAAACAAAATTGATAAACACATATCCAAAAGATACACATTTTTTTATTTTTTAATTGATAAGATATTTACAAATAAAAAATGTTTGACACCTCCAAAAAATTTATAAAATCCTGTGCGTGCATTAATTTTTATTTAATTAAAACGGCACCGTTTTATGAATAGAAGACGTTTATAAACGCCTCCAAATGAGTTATGTCTCACGCGCCCCCCTCTGCCTCTTTTCCTCCCTTTCTCTCTCTCTCTCTCTGTCTCTGTTGTCTAAACCCCATTAATATCTCAGAGCCATTTCGAAACACATCAGTGATTCATCAGAGCCATTTGGAAATCGAAATCAAAATCGAAGTTCATCTCAACGATTCAGATCGGTGAGCTCCACCGTCTCTCTCTCTCTCTGTGTCTCTCTGCTGTCTAATCCTAATTATCTCAGAGATTCAGCTCGGTGATTCAGAGATTCAGATCGGTCTCAGCGAAACATATCGGTGATTCATCAGAGCCATTTCGAAGTTCTCTCTCAAAATCGAAGTTCATCTCAGCGATTCAGATCGGTGAGCTCCACTATCTGTCTGTCTGTCTGTCTCTCCCTCTCTCTCTCTCAAGCTGAACTGTTGATGCAATGTCGATTTGGTTGTTGAAATCAATCCTGTGAAATCCTGTATGAATGGTTTTGATATTTGATTTGAAACGATCCTCTCATATCCTTCATGCTTGTTCAACATGGCTATTATTCTCTAGTTGGGGCTGGAATTTTTTTATTTTTAATTTTTTTTTAATACTGAGATTTGCAATGGAATTAGTGATTTTAGTTATATTAATATGAAATATTAGCAATTGCAAACAGATTGTTGTCAGTGAATGTGAACCACAACTCTCTTTTGCTCTGCTAGAACTAGAAGCTACATTCTCCAAACAGAAGTTTAATGTTGTGTTTATGTATGAGAATGGAAAACATTTAGTTAATTTGTTGAGCCATTTTCTTCTTTCTTTCTTTTCTTTGTGGGCAATTTCACGTCTTCTGTTCTCTTGATAAGAGGCCTCTATTATGCCTGTGGAGAACGGTGGTCCTTTTAGCAAATAGTGCAGTAGATTTGTCCAAAGACATAATCTTTAACTCCTCTACCTCGATTCAAGTTTCAAATGTATCTAAAATTTGGTAGCATCACGTAATTGCAGATTACGAATTACCATAGCAATTGTAAAGATCAACTTTGGCTTATTTTGGGAAGATGATAAAAAGTGACTTTTTGGCTTTTAACCAAGCGTTTGGCTTTTTTAGACAAATGATTTGGGAAGTTGGTAAAAAGTGACTTTTGACTTTTTTGATTAATGTTTGTTTATGATGTCAAATCATAATAAAATGACCAAACTACCCCCATTTATTTAAAATATTTACGACTTCACCTATGTAACACATTTTGACCCATGAGGGTAAAATTGTAATTTCACCGTTGGCTAAAAACCAACTTCCCAAATGAAAAAAAACATAAAAAAGCCAACTTTTAGCAGCATTATTGGGTTGTGTAAATTTTTTTTAATTAGTTCCTAGAGCCACAACCTTTGCTTGAGTGTTGATTATACCATATTTCTTTCTATATGAGACCATGTGTCATATTTCTCAATGTTGCTAAAGTAGGATCAGAATGGTTAAATTGTTTCTGGAGCTCTTCACTTGATTTTATAAATGTTCAAATTAAAGACGCTTGAAGTCTCTGTCTATAACTAATTTAATGTTGGGTAGCCTGCATATATCTGTAAACAAATTTTTATTTGGTTATTACTGTGCTAACCAAGGTTTCAACTGGAGGCATTTGTATTGTTCAATGAACCCTTTTTACCAAAAGAGAACAAAAGATTTTGTGCTTATGTTTCGAATCAACTCCAAGGTCCTGAAATTTTTTTGCAACAAAATGATGATGGGGCATATCTAACCAGTTCACATGATACAGATGACTTTGGAACCTTGCAGTCCAAGCCTAAAATGTTTAAAAATTGGTTTTTGGACCTTGTACGCCTTGGTTCAGTCCTCAATAATGCTGCTGAATCTTTTTTCAAGAGTGAAATACGGCAGAGATTATTTGTGATAGTTGTGTATTGTGATAAGTCGTATTGGTTATTTTATTCCTCTGCCTAGATTTGATAGAAGGTTGATACCGGAGGACTACCTTAGCTTTGTCTCAGTATCTGTTGGTAAGTAATCCAAAATTACAAGTTTTAGTTGCTTTATTCAAAATATTTTCCTAGTGGTCTGAACGGTGATGGCTAAATTGGGAATGCTTATTTTTTGTTTAAAAGTAAACTGGTAGCTGCTGTAATGTACCAGTGCTGTTCTGGTGAAGCTGGATTCTTTAATGAAAGAACACTTGTTTCTGTTTCCCATTTTGTTCTTGGAAAAGATTATTTATGCATTCTGTTTTTTAGATGAACTCGGAGATTTCACGGCTGAACTTAAGCTTTCCCTTTCCTAACTTGGAATCAATCCTCAGATTGCTGCATCAATTCTCATGCAGGTCTGCTGTTCTTTTATCCTCAGGTTTACATTTCTTGTCCATTATTTAAGACTCTATTGTGATTATCTTGATTGATTCTATGTTTTTGTTATTATATTTTCTTACTCCATTCTAGTGTTGAACATTAGCACAATAATTTGGATGCTGAAGGTTCTTTCTTTGTGTTACATTAGATGAAATGTCATGAACTTAATAGATTCTGTGTGGTAGTGATAGGAACTGAATTGGGTTTCATTTGTTGGTTTAAGAAACACTAGTAATTGCTTAGTGAGGTTTTTAGGTATTGATTGATACTATGGGTGAAATTGGGGAAACTTTGGAATCTGGGTCTTCTATAGAATTGAGTTCCCAAGCTATGAAAGCTGAGTCTTTTCATGAGGATAGTTTTTGCAAGCAAGTGACTCATTTTGGGGGAGGTTGGTCTTGGGTTCTTCTTTCATGCCTTGCTCAAACAGTTTGGAAGGGTTCTAAAAAAAAAATCCCATATTTACATACATCGATATACACTGGCATTTATGTGTTTTGCGAATGTTTTTTTAATTTATTGCTCTCATCTCTTCTCTTTGTAACAGTGGATGGGTAGGAGTACGAGGAAAGCTCCTCTTGCTGTTTTGGACAAGATCAAGGAAGGTGAGATATTGGAGTTTTTGTTTTTATTTTTTGTTTTTTATTCATCATTCTGATTTTTGTTTCCATTTTTTTGGGTGTATTGGGGTTTTAGAGATAGGTTTTTGTTTATTCTTTGTTTTTTTAATTCATCACTCTGATTTTGGTTATCTTTACCTTTTGGCAGAGCTAATGCTTTTTGGATTTATCTTTCTTCCATATTCAACACATTTCCTAGAATTCAACAAAGTCTATTATGTGACTGCAGACCTTAAGAGATCTCATCTGTGCATACTATTGAGAAAAAAGACAAGATAGTAACAATTCAACAGGCACCATGACACCTGCATTGAAAAGCAAGTGCTCATCATCTGAATCAATATTGTGAAGATATACACGATTGTTACTAAATTTTGTATGTTGCTGCAGAGTTTGGACCTCTGAGACAAGGAGCATGAAACAGATACACTCTTGATCAAAGGGGAAGCATGACAAAAATGGTCTCTCTCCAAAGGACAATATTATTAGTATATTTGAGATTACGTGTGATACTTTCTACAATCTATACTATTTTAATTTTACTTGCTCTTTCGGACGAGATTTTGAGATTTTAATTTGGTTATTCTTTTGCTAGTTGTACATGGTCTGTTAAATATTCTATTGATTCTTAAGGTCATTAGCCAAGGTAAAGATTGTCTTTTGGTATTTATTCATGAGTATTCCCTTTGTACCTTCTCAGTTTCCATTTGATGTTTTCATCCGATACATTTTCATTTTGTGTTGGATTTGCAAATTAAAGCAACAGTTGGGGAATCCTAACACCTTCTGAAATGAATCCAAACCTGAAAAATGAATATTGTTTTTTTTTTAATATTTTTTTTAATTATAATTTATGGAGTTGCAATATGTTAATCTACTGAAGTATAGAACTGATTTCCATTCAATTCCAATTCTATACAACCAAATGCTTAGTGTAATTGGAATATGAAATATCTGGTGCACTTTGATTTATGATTATTGCTTCTTGTTTGTTGAATGCATATCCTCTCATATTCTGACATGTTTTCCTCTCTGTCCCCGTCTGTCTCTCTCTATATGTAGGTATACCTATTGAACATTGGATTTGTTGAACAAGATGGAGGTTGCAACAACTAAACTAGTAAAGTGTTTGACCTTTCTAGTGACTCATATGACTTCATACATGAGTACTGGTAGCACAATACAAATGTCAAAATATCACCTTTTTTCTCAGCCTGCTGTTTATGCTCACTATTTATTCTCTTACTTTTTATTTACGTACATACATGCCTAATTATGTGTGTAGGGTCAGTCATTTGGTGGAACAAATGATTCCCAGAAATCTGTATTTGATTTGGTAGACTTTGCAGGGGATTTAATTGTTGAGGACACAAATAGGTATGATTCTTCCCTATGGCAATGCAAGCACAAAATTAAGGATTTTTGTCCTTAGGTCACTAAATAAATCATCTGGCGCCAAAAGTATTTGGTTATATATGCATATATAAATTATGCAATGGGGAGGAAGTATGCAGGTTCTTCACATCCTGAGGATAAATGTTATGTGGATTGTGGACGTAATGTATTGTAGTTGTTTTGTTTGTTTGTTTGTTGTTAACCAAAGTGTATATTAATGTTTGTTTGTTTGTTTGTTGTTAACCAAACTGTATCTTAATTGAAGGTTGAACCAAGTGGTGCTGTGATACAATGAAGAATAATTTAGAACTTCACCAATTCAGTACCTTATTAGTTTGTAAAAGTTTGGAATTTGATAGAGTATTATGTATGTTGATTACATTGTCTTGAGTTTGGAAAGAGTATCATGTATCATGTATGTTGATTCCATTGTCTGGAATAAAAAATGGTAAACTAATACATAGCTTTGCTTTATCTAATGTCATCCTATGTAATATAACAAGGTTTTCACCTTTTCTTCCTTTGGTTTTTCTTTCTCTTTCATTCTCTTTTGTGGAAAGATGGGATTGGTGGCTGGGCTGAAATTTCCAATTACAATAGATAAGTCATACTATATTGTGATTGATTTTACAAGGTAGGATTTGTGGAAATATGTTGTTGTAGATACTGCTATATGATCTCTGTTCTTAATTGATATGAAAGTCAACATTGTAAATGGCTGGAAATGGGAATTTGGCTTTCAATGGTAGTTTTTATTCTAATCAGATTCTAGAAGCGTTTTCTGATCATGCCAAATTAGCTTTATAGTATTTTCTGATTCAAGGCACTGTGCTTCTTAAGCAAATGAGTTATGGGTTTTATATAAAGTGATCTGCCCTTTTCCCTTTTTATTATGGATTACTAGAGGTATATGGTTTCAGGATAGGCAAAAGTTATAAGCGGATCCTCTATAATGTGTCACATATTTTGGAGCTAAGGTAGACAATATACCAATTTCTCTAAATAAGTTATTGGTGATGCAGATGTGGTGTTTATTTTTAACCCATCTTTTGTGGATTGTGTCCTCTTCATTGTTTCTGCCTCTAATTTATTGAATTTGAGCATTAGCATAAAGCTCTTGTATTCAATCAATCAGTATCCTTATGGTGGTTTTTGAAAAACATAAAAATAAGAAGAAAAAAAGCATATTATTGCTATTTTTCAGCTTTATTATTGGTATTTTTTTAGTTAAATCTCATAGAATTAGCACAATTTCAAAAAAAAAAGAAAAAAAGAAGCTATAACGGTTATAATGCCAACAATTATATTTTTAAAATAGAAAAAAGCTATCATGACATTTTTAAAAAGTCGCTAAATACTGGCGTGACGTCATTTTACCATTATGTAACACGCTTAGTGGCTTTTTCTAAAAACGCCGCCTATACTAATATAACGACACTTTTAAACCGCCATAAAGATACGGTGACTGTAGCGTCTTCGGCGTTTGATACTAAGTGTCACAAAAAGAATTAGTGACATTTTTGATAGCTATAGCGGCGTTTTTTAAATGCCTTTAAAAGTCAAATTTCCAGCAGTGGATGTTCTGATGTTTCAAGCTTATCATTAATAGAAAAGACACAACCTAGAATTCGAAGCTACAGGGACACCAATCTTTAGGGGAGCCATTATGAGGTTTTAACGCTTCAAAGCCAAGCTAGCCATCGAAAACATTGGACTTTAAAGAGGGAAACACTTGCCCACCATTCAATTCAGCTAGGGAGTAGAGGGAGCGAATTGAAAATTTTCCTGAGGGTTCTGCCATCCAGCGCGTCAAGTCTTTTTTTTTTTTTTATTATCGATTGAGAGAAGTTGGATAGAAGGCTATAAAAGACCCCATCTTTTTCTTTTTTTGCTCGTTCAAAGACACCCCATGGGGGGTCTAAAGTTAACGACACAATAGCAATTTAATTGAAAATGGCTCAGAAGATGTTAGGTTGAACTAGTTTGTGTACTTGTCTTTGTAAAGTAATCAGATATATGTATAATTTGTATAGCATTATGCAACTACCAAGCTTAAGATTGACTGTAGGGTGGAGATAAAACTTGACACAAAATTCAACAGCCAAACAGGAGGGACGATACCTCCCATTCTCCACCAAAGAGAGAGAGTCCCAAGATTGTCTTTATTTTCCTATTGATGTGTCTTTCTTGACAGTGTGTTATTTGTGATCATTCATTTTCCTAGTGTATTGGTTTAGATGATTTTTATTAGAGGCATACACCTGTACTGTGGCTGCAGCCCTTGGATGAGTTGCTTGGGCTTGATTGGCTGTGGCTGCAGCTGTGTTTTCTGCTGGTGCTTCAGCTGTGATTGTTGTGTTTTCATAATACTTGGACAAACACTTGGATGCATAGACTTGATACTCTTATCAGTTTTGTTAATATAAATTTTATTGATGGCACTGACTAACAATTGCATACACAAATGAAGGAGCTCGGAGCGCAATCCAGTGCTACAGATGAGGAGATCTTCACACGGGTTCTTGGGCCTGATTGTGTTTGAACATATGGATTGAGTCCTTTCTCCGACAAATGTCTTTGGAGGTGGATATAGGCAGTCACAAGAGCAGACTCATCTCATCCCGATGCAAGTCCAAGAACAACTTAACCAACATAAAGTACAAATGGAGATGCAAGTGAAGGAGATGATGGATGCTATGTTTAGTCAGATGCAAGGTACAATCCAATTGAAAATGGCAATTTAATTGAAAATGGCTCAGAAGATGTTAGGTTGAACTAGTTTGTGTACTTGTCTTTGTAAAGTAATCAGATATATGTATAATTTGTATAGCATTATGCAACTACCAAGCTTAAGATTGACTGTAGGGTGGAGATAAAACTTGACACAAAATTCAACAGCCAAACAAGAGGGACGATACCTCCCATTCTCCACCAAAGAGAGAGAGTCCCAAGATTGTCTCTATTTTCCTATTGATGTGTCTTTCTTGACAGTGTGTTATTTGTGATCATTCATTTTCCTAGTGTATTGGTTTAGATGATTTTTATTAGAGGCATACACCTGTACTGTGGCTGCAGCCCTTGGATGAGTTGCTTGGGCTTGATTGGCTGTGGCTGCAGCTGTGTTTTCTGCTGGTGCTTCAGCTGTGATTGTTGTGTTTTCATAACACTTGGACAAACACTTGGATGCATAGACTTGATACTCTTATCAGTTTTGTTAATATAAATTTTATTGATGGCACTGACTAACAATTGCATACACAAATGAAGGAGCTCGGAGCGCAATCCAGTGCTACAGATGAGGAGATCTTCACACGGGTTCTTGGGCCTGATTGTGTTTGAACATATGGATTGAGTCCTTTCTCCGACAAATGTCTTTGGAGGTGGATATAGGCAGTCACAAGAGCAGACTCATCTCATCCCGATGCAAGTCCAAGAACAACTTAACCAACATAAAGTACAAATGGAGATGCAAGTGAAGGAGATGATGGATGCTATGTTTAGTCAGATGCAAGGTACAATCCAAGCTCAACAAGCACGAATAGAGCAGTTAGAGTCTCAACAGGCCATGGGTGGGCCTGTTGCACCAGCTGCTACACATGTGCATTCACAACTATAATCCCATGCATACACCTCATCGTTTAATTGCCATCATTCATCCGAGGAAGTGAGTAAATAGTTAATTATGAAATTTTCAATATGGCATTTTATTCATGTTATTTGTTCTTGTCAAATGCAGGTTCAAATATCAAAGGAAGAAGAAGAAGAAGAAGAAGATAGGACAAACTCAATGTCGGAGGGACTATTTTTTGTAGTAAGTTTGGTTATCTGTCTACTGGGCTATTTATTTACTGATATTGATACTAATATCTTCTATATAATTGCATAAGGCTTAGTTGCTAGAATTATGGCTTAAAAGTAGCATCGGTACTGATCATAGGGTTCTTACTATTTGCTAGTTTAAAAGTAGTAATTCAAGAACATTACTTCATGTTTCATTTTTATCTATTATCAGTTTAGTTCAATAACAATATATTTCCCTTCTTGATTTGGACACCTATAGGCTATATGTATATTAGTCGCATAGATAGGGTGAGTAATCTTAACTATGTAGATGAAAGGCCTTTGGATGTCCAAAAATTTAATTTCTCCCAAGGCTTGTTTTTGCAGAGAGTCATTTTTTTGGAGTAACTGTCTAGGTAGTTGGTTAATAATGCTCATCATGAATTCTCTTGCTGGAACCTTATTTAATTTCTAGTGTTCATGTAACATAGCCTTCTTTACCTCAATTATATGCAATATCAATAGGCTAATCATGGTTATGATGCTCCATAGCTTAAAATAAAGATTAAATTCATAAGCAACAAGTAGAAAGGTGAATATGTGAGCTGATCACATCAGACAAGCATAGTTGACCTAGAACTTCATATCCTAAAGTAATGACGAGGAATAATTGGAATTTTGATCATAAATATAAAGATTGGAGATTGAAAGCCTACTTTCAACCTAGGACATATAGGAACAATGAAATTTGGGGATGCCACACAATTTTTTAAGTTTCTAAACCAGGTAAGTTCACAATTTTTTAAGGATCCAAATCCTAGGGTTTGGATTGTTCATTGTTGAAAGTTGTATCTTTATTGAATTGGGTTAGTAGAATTAGTAGTTTTTTCATATTAGAGAGGTTGGTTTTTTCTTTTTCTTTTTTTGGTGATTTAAAATTTTATTCCACACAAAACACAAAGAAACAAGAAGCAAGGACCTACCCTTGCACAAAAAAATACAAATCAACACCGAAACAAAACAACAGAAAACTACAAAATCTAATTATCAGGTCTATAGAATGGAACAAGGCAGTCCCCAGTCCATACAGATTTGCCAAATTTGCAAAGAATTCTTAACTCTCTTGAAAGAACAAGCTCTAGCTCTAACTTCCTTAACTATTCCAAACACTATCACTTCCTTGTGACTAACAGACTGAGTAAAAATTCTCCTATTCCTCTCCAACCATACATGATATAAAGTGCAAGCCACGGAAAGTTTGAACATAGTATTTCCCAGTAAAAGGACAAGAGCATAACAAATGCTCATGAGATCCATTTACAGATTGACACAAACTGCACGCAGGATCCACCTTCATTCCCTAATGTAGTAATCTATCATTGGTAGCTAATTTTGTAAACAAATCAGCCAATGCACAAAAGCCCATTTAGACACATTTCCTTAAACCAAACAATAGAACACCATGGGACCACTGCTCTAGATGGCCTCAGAGCTTCCCAAGCAGCTTTAGAGGAGTTGCTACCACCCTTTGAAGGTAACCAAATAGCTTCATCAGATCTGTGCAGATTAGGAATAAGGGTATGAGGGGTTAAAGCAATAACTTGCTGAATTACTCTATTTCTTAATCTAGGTCAATGCCAGCATGAGCAACTATAATACTTGAAACATTCACATAAAGAGCTCTGCCAATATTCTGCACAATTCTACTTCCAAAATGTTGATAAAGAGGCCCCACTAGATGTTAGTTATCAAGCCATAAGAAGGTGGATATGCCATCCCCTATTTTGTAATGAATAAGAGCCTGCCCAATCTCTCTAAGCTTGAATATCTTCCTCATAGTCCATGAGGAATCATTTGGACATCAATAAACCAAAAGCATTGATCCTTTAAAATATAGGTATGTATCCATTCAACCCAAAGTGAATGAGCCTTCATACTTATAGCCCAAAGTTGTTTAATCATATTGACTTTATTCTAAATTTTCAGCAATCTAAAACCTAACACTCCTCATTGTTTAGGAACACAAATACTCTCCCACTTAACTTTGGCCCTTGCTTGTTTGAGCTCAGAATCAGACCATAAAAAGGCTCTAATCAAACTTTCCACATCCTTTAGAATTCTTTGAGGTAAAATAAAAAGGGAACTGCAATAGATCTGTGCACTAAACAATCCTATTTGAATAAGTTGCATGCTTTCCCCATATGACAAGAGCTTATTTGCCCACAACTGAATCCTCAAGCGTATTCTATCCTTCAGTTGAAGAAAATCCTCATACCTCAATCTTGTGGAAATAAGAGGCACACTCAAGTACTTGACAGGTAATAGACCCTTAGGAATTGGAAGAACAGTCAGTAAATCAGCTTTTAAAACAGAAGAAATCCCAGCAAAGAAGACAACACTCTTCTATAGATTAGGTTGAAGTCCAAACCATAAATGGAACTTATATAAAGTGTCATTTATAATTCTGAATGACTGAACATCAGCCCCATACAGAACAAAAAGATCATCCGCAAAGGTTAAGTGACTGATACCCAAAGATTTGCACTTAGGATGGAAAGTAAACTGACCGTGAGTCAAATTATTCTTAAGAAAAACACATAACTAAAAGAAAAATTTGAGGGGAAATTGGATCCCCTTGCCTTAGACCTTTTTCTCCCTTGAAATAACCTTTCAATTCTGCATTCAACACAATTGAATAACTAAAATAACCTTCCAATTCTGCATTCAACACAATGGAATAACTAACACAATGATTTAACTAGCTGTGGACATACACTGAATAACCCAAGAAATAAACCTAATTGGAAACTCCATAGCAGCCATTATTTTGAACAAAAAATCCCCACCTTACAGGGAGGTTAGGTTATCATTTATATTTGCTTCTGCTATTCAATTGAACCATAAATCTATATGTATGTATCATGCTTTATGGATCCTAACATGTTTAGGTCTATTTCACTTGCAAGTATCAGTTATTTAATTCTCCATTTTGATACTGCCTTGTCTACAAATCCTATCTTTGTTTCTGTCTATTGGGCAGTGGTGACATCACTGATGCATTTTGCACTAATAGATGGGAATGTAATTTTTTAATGCATCACAATTTTGTTCTAGAATTGGGCCTTTTTTCAGATTTTTGAAAAGCAAAGTTCTAGGTTTGTTTCTTATTTTTGATTGCACATTTCTAAAGCAAGGATTGAATACACCGTATATTTTTATTTTGATGAAGCAAATAATAAAAGCACCCATCAATTGTAAACAAACAGCACAAGAAACAAATTGCCCCCCCCCCTTTTTTTTATCAGCCAAAAGGAAATATATTGATTGATAAAAATGTCCAAGTATAGTGAAATTACATCAATAACCTTACTAAGAAGGTACATGCAGTTGGCCCTATCATAACAGTAGTTGTTGTGTGGTATTTTACTCTGTCATTGCACAGGAATAATAGAGGAATATCTTATGTCTACCTTTCTCACTAATCATCAGAGGGGTTGGTTTTGTAACTATTGACTGTCATATATGTTTGGAGGAGTTTAGGAACAGAGAAAGTGTACAAGTGCTCCCATTTGCAAGCGTATTTATGACATTGAATATATCCAAGCCTAGTTAACTTTTAGAGACTCTCGATGCCCTGACTATTGTTATAACTATTCAACATAGTAATTGGAAAGATGCCCCATGATTTACCTTGAGTAAGAAGCATAACTTAAGGTAAATCAGGTGGCATGCTTTCCAATTCCCATGTTGCATAGTCATAACGGCAGTCAGGGCATTGAGTATTTCTAGTTAGCCAAGTTTGGATACAATCAATATGATAAATATGCCTGCAAGCAGGGAGCACTCGTACATTGTCTCCTTGGAGGAACTCCTCCAAGCATATGTGACAATCAATAATGTCAAAACCAACCTCTCCATCAATAGGAAAGGGAAGCATAGGAAATGATTCCACTACTCGTGGATCAAGTCCTTGTGCAATAACTGGTGGTACTAATCCTAAACCAGCTGCATGCACACGTCTTAACCAAATAATAAAGAAAACTACAACTAAAATCAAAATAACACATACAATAATTATTATTACAATAGGACTATCTATCCCTTCTATTTTCAACATATGTTTACTATCCAACCAATAAGGTTTTTGTAGTTTTGGATCTGTACCTTGGGCTGCAACGGATTTCAAACTAATGAAGATGATGATGGCCCAAATCATAATCGTAGAAACTTCAACCTGATTTCAAAAATTGAAAAAAAGAAAAAAGAAATGAATAAATAAAATAATAAATTGATAAAAAAAAATAAAAAATATTTGTTTATAATATAAATAAATAAATAATTAGAGTTATCTTTACATGTTATCTAACTATAATAGATAACAAGTTTTGTCTTTCCATTATAGGTTTACATGTGAAAAAGATTGAAAATTTAAGAACACCACACCCATGCACACTTAGGGATGTTTAGAAAAGATGGTTAAAAGTTACTTTTTGACTTTTTTTTGATTTTTTTTTTGTGAGAGAAGGAAGTGGGTTAAAAGTTGGGAAGTGGCTTTTAACCCACGCCCCAAATTAGCTATTAATGTAAAATGATAAAATTTCATACGCAACTTAGGTGATGTCTCACTTACCTTTAATTAATTTGGCCCACACTCATACCACTCTCTCATTGCCGGCCCCGCTATTGTTAGTTTAGTACACTTCTATTGTTTGGTTTGGTTTACGTTTCTAAAGATTATATGCAATAACAAATATGATAAATATTTGATATTACTAAATAAATTAATAATAATTAGTTTAGTTATGTTGGTTAAAGCTTATCAATTTCACAATGATAGCTAGTCTTCAAATCTTATACGAAACATTTCATATTTTAAATTTTTTGTATAAAAATATAAAAAATAATAAACAAATATGTCACAGTCCAGTTCGGAACCATAATCACAGCCTTGCAAGCAGGAACCGGACAGATTTGAACGGTTCTACCTTTTTCAAAACCAGAACCAGCTTAACTAAACCGATGATTTAGACCAGATTGAATTGATTAATCAATTCTACCGATTTTTTTGAACACCCCTAACTAATAACTATTGACCACCATCACTACAACAAATATCAAACCCTAGAAACCCATTACCCCAAGATCGTGAATGCCTCCAAAAACCACCACAAACACCACCCAATTGTTATCAACAAACCACTACAATTGAGAACTTGGTGTACTAAACTAACAAGGACAATCTCCTTAGATGGATTTATTGATATGGCTTGAAGGAGCCATTTGCCATTAAGCACAAGGGCGTGCTCCTCATCATCCAAGGACGTGAGGCTGCCCTGATTTTATGGAGGCTCTATGCAAAATTTAAGATGGAAATTTTTATTTTAGGTGTTGAGTGATTTCAGTAATTTCATACTAATCAATTGAAGTGATTTTTCATCTAAGAGACTCTAAATCCTTGAAAACTTTAAACTCAATTTTTTAATTTTTTGATTTTTATAGAATTTTAAAAACAACTTTTGGCTATCCTTAGACATTAAAAATTAAAATTTAGAAATATTTAATGTAATTCAAAAGCTTGCGTCAACACTTATAAAAGGGGGAAAAAATCCACAATTTGTCCTAAAACAAAAATCTACACCTTTTAAAAAGGATATAAATAACATGAAATGATAGCTCGTTATTTCCAAAAACAAATCTGATAAAAAGTAAACATCTTTCATCTCACATAAAATTCTGTTTAAAAAAAAAAAAAAACTCACATAAAATCTATATTATAAGAGATACATGGTAAAAAAAAAAATCCACAAATATCATGATTCAATAAATTTTAATTGGTATAATAAAGATAATTAAGCCAATTCAAGATCCCTTCTACAACTGATGAGTTATAACTTATGCCGAACATATAATGAAAAATAAAACCCTATATTAGCTTCTCTCTACTCTATAATTAAGCATATTATCTCTTATTCAGGTTTAAGCATGTTTAATCACTCACTTCTATTCTTTTCCTTTTTATTATTGTTTTTCCTGTCTTCTAAATTATTTTATCTTTTTCCCTTTGAGTTTAAGCATGGTTCAAAAGAGAGTTCTCTCACTAAGTTTAATGCCAAGCAAAAATCACACATTCCTCAAATTGTAAGCATTGTTCTCTCACCTTCATACTTTTGTAATCTTATTTTGTTGTTTGCAAAAATCACACGTTCATCAAACGTTTATTACAATGAAAGTAGAATAGAATGAAATGTTCATTTCTTAATCTCCGTATGAATTATTTCATTTGTATTATATTTTTCATCATTTTTTTAGTGAACCAAATCTATGGACATTCTAATGAAATTATCATTTGATTCAAACCAAATTCAAATGAATCAAACATTACTTGAGAGAGGTTTGGGCTATTTCCATAAAACACATTGTTTGGCAAGGCCCCCTTTTTTTTTTTTTTTTTTTTGTAATACTTCAATCATGTTATCTGTAATGATTTGTGAGAATTAACAAATAAGAATATAATAAAAATAAATAAATAAAAATGGATGGGTGCCCAAACAATAGAACTTCAAACGCAATTTGGGGGTAGAACAAAAAAAAATTATGTTATCTATATTGATTTGTGAGAAAAAAAACATAACATGGGGGATTTGAACTCCTGACCAAAGAGTCATAGCATCACAAGTCTTAACCGCTAAGCCAGAACAACTCTTAAAATTCATGTGTGTCCAACAAATATTTAAATCATCAAATTTGGTAGTCTCATCTACAACCTCTAGATGAGCGTATGGCACGTGTATGCACGTGGCCTTTACTCTCCAACTTTGGAGGGCGCGTGATGGAGCGTCCGATCTTATATTGGGCTACTCTTTGTGGGTCTAGACTCATGTTATCGAGATGATTCTTCTGGTATGCTCAAAAATTGATTTTGAGTAAATAGGTGGAGCTTCCGAACTATTAAGGGCTTGTTTGGTGTACGAATTTTTTACTATTTTGTATAAGCATGCAATACTCTATGTGGGCACTTTCTATGCATATACTTCAATTTCATTTCCATCTGCTTATGATGATCTAGGATGAAAATATGTCTGCTGCTGTTACAATGAAAGTAGGTTTTACGCCATGTTTGAAGTAGCTTATCTGCATCTATTTTGCAATTAGATTTACTTTCTATTATTTGTTATTTTTTCTTTTTGCACCATTTGAAATAAGGATTTTGAGCATATTTGTCTGGACACGGAAAAATTAGGGGAATGTCAGTGACAAAGTTGCACACTACAAGATTAAACTTGATAGCTTCAAAAGTATACTGCATGTAAAGTCATATAGCATGAAACATCTGTAGAACAACTTCCAAATAAAGAGTGCAACTAATAGTTCTATGCCATTAGCTCCGTAATAGTTCTATGCCATCATGAACTAAAGAAAACACCATTAAAATCCAGGATTTACCTTAATTTTTGACCGAGAAGTGGCCGATCTGAATCCTACCGTCGTCGGTTGAGTGAAGAGAGACTCCGGCTCAGCCTCTGTCAACAATGGCTCAGACATTTCAGAGGAAGGAAGTGCAAGTGGGAAGGAGGAGGAGGAGAGGGACGAGGGATGTGGGAGGAAGGAATTTAGTGTTGAAAGAATGACTGGGAAGTTTGCCTATGGGGCTGCTACAACAAACTCTTGTAACATTAGCGTTAGAGCTGTGTCAGAATTTAATAATGGCCAACCCAGATGAATTGCAGAGCCTCACGCCCCTTCAGATGTTGAGCATTCTAGAATGTCCAAGATTGGCGAGTTGTTGGGATGAGAGGCTGCTCTGCCTAACCAGGCTTCAAATACCCCTTCATCTCCCTGGAGTCTCTAACTTAATGGAGGTGGGAAGGGGTCAAATATCTCCCTGATCAACTTCAGCCCCTCACTGTCTTGAGAGAGTTGTTAATTGAACATTTCAATGGACTGAAAGCTCTGCTAAAATGCTTGGGTAAGCTTTCATCTCTTCATTCTTTGGAGCTGTGGGATTGTGAGAATCTGATGAATCTTCCCACCCTGGAAGCAACCCAACGCCTCACCAATTTACCATCTTTGAGAACTAGTGGTCCCCATCTAAAGGAAAGATGTGCAAGGGAAAGCGGTCAAGAATGGCACAAGATTGCCCATATTCCATCCATCCACATGTTCTGGATTGAGATTATCCCTGGCCATGAGATCATAGGGGAGGAAGAATGTGGCATTCATGAGCACTAGTATTGATCGCAATGTGTGAAATTGATTCAAAAAATGGAAAGTTTGCAATGGTGATGAATATGTTTTTGCAGTGGCAGTTGTCCGTTTTTAGTATGTCAAATGAGAGAGATGTGGAATAAGCAATAGTGTGGTGAGTGAAATACTATCGTGGGTTGGTTCAAAAAAAAAAGAAATACTATCGTGGGTTTGACGAGCAATATTATTAATCAAAATATGAAAATTGATTTTAAAAATGGAAATTTGGGTTGTATTTAATAAGAGAAATATCAAATAATTGGGTGTAGAAAAAATAATTATAAATTATTAAAAAAACTTAATAAATATTAATAATTATAATTATAAATTTATATTTTTTTCCTGCCATCATTATAACGTAATTACCCCTATTTAATATTTCTAAAGAGGTTCTTCTTTACTTGAATATATATATGTATATATATATGAGTTCATTTTTTAGAGTCAATAATGGATAAATAAGATGATTTAAGAAAACAGGAAAACAATATATGACTTAAATAATTTAATTTAAAAAATAATCTAATTTTTTAGTTTAAATAACATTACTCTTTAAAAATTATCAAAATCTAACTTGATAACAACCTCAGTTTAAACCAAAAAAACACAAGAAATAAAGCAAAACAAACCCTACTATAATCAAATGGTTACTTATATATACTATTCTGTTATTTGAGTTGGTTTCAATGGTAGACTAAGGCCAAGTTTGGGATGTTCCAAAAAAGTCAAAAAGTCAAAAAGTTACTCAAAAAGTTAAAAAGTTAACATTATTCACCAAAAGTCAACAATTACGGCTGCACAACTCCCAATTCAAATTTTTCCCTAAAAATTGATTTTTAGGGAAAAATTTGAATTGGGAGTTGTGCAGCCGTAATTGTTGACTTTTGGTGAATAGTGTTAACTTTTTAAGTTTAGGATTTAAGGTTTAGGTTTTTATTTCTTCCGAGTCTTTCTGATTTGAAATAAAAATATAGTAAGGACTTGTACAAAATTATATGGAAAATGTTTGAGGGCCACAAAATCAGTGGCTCAAATGGCTCAAAACTGCCAAAACGACGTCGTTTTGCGTTGTTTTGCACCCAAAACGACGTCGTTTTGACAGTTTTGAGCCATTTGAGCCACTGTTTTTGTGGCCCTCTAGCATTGCCGAAATTATATAGAATTAACAAATTTTAACCAGCAGTCTAATTGATCAGTCAATTTTATCACCCAATCAGTCTAACCCAACTTTTTTTTTTTCTTTTTTTTTCTATTTGTTGAGCTATGTTGGTTTTTTTTAAAATTTTATTTTATTTGTTGGGCTGTATTGGTTTGATTTTTTTTTAATTAGGTTTTAGGATACACAAAAAACCCTTTAAACTCAAAACCCTTTAAAAAAAAAAAAAAAAAAAAAAAACAAAACCAAACCAAACCAACAAAAAAAAAAACCAAAAAAAAAAAAAAACAAACAAAACATCTTTTCCAGGCAAATTCGCGCCTCCTTTCGAGGCTTTCAGCACCGTTGTTTAAAAAATAATCTAATTTTTTAGTTTAAATAACATTACTCTTTAAAAATTATCAAAATCTAAGTTGATAACAACCTAGTTTAAACCAAAAAAACACAAGAAATAAAACAAAACAACCCCTACTATAATCAAACGGTTACTTATATATACTATTCTCTTATTTGAGTTGGTTTCAATGGTAGACTAAAGAAAGAAGGAAAGCGTCCTCAAAAAAAAAAAAAGGAAAGCCAGCTAGATAAAGGGCTAGAGTACCTAAGGCTCTGTTTGGTTGTGCTCTGTAATCAATTTTCTACCCGTGTGTTGGAGCATGATGTTTGGTTTCGTTTTCAAATCAATTTTCTACACTCTGCAGAGAGAACTCTGATGCACAGGCGCCTTTTTTGTCCGAGTCGGCTGTAGATAGAGAGAAACGGAGAGAATTGTGCAATTTAGCTCAAAGCTTGCAGATTATATATATACATATATATATATATATATATATATATATTTTTTTGCAATTGATTTACATAATCGGGACAAATATTTTCTGAAAATTTTTAAATTTTTTATGTGCTTTAAAATAATTTTGAGTTGTATGTTTAGTTATGAGTTGTAAATTTTTGTATCACATATCAAATATTACATCAATAATTCCCCACTCAAATCAAACCTCTTTTCCAAAATTATTTTCAAAACTCTTTACCAAACAAATTTTCTACACTCAAATCATAATTCCAGAACACACAAACTCAAAATACAACTCATACTCTCAAATCACATTTACAAAACACAACCAAATGCTACCTAAAATTTTCATCATAGATCACATTGGGGAGAGAGAATGTGGCATGTGGCATTTAAACAAAAAAACATACCAAAAAAACAAATCAAACCTTACTACAATCAAATAGTTACTAATATAAAAAAATTTCCATCAGAGATCTATTAGGAGAGAGAATGTGGCATTGAGTAGTATTGATCCAAAAAAAAAAAAAATCTTCTCACACTTAGGCCAAGTTTGAGAAGTTACAAATAATTCATCTTTTTATCTTTTTTTTATCACATCACTTTTCTATTTTTCTGCACATCTTTTCGTAAAAAGACAAAAAGTGTACTTATTTAAGTCATCTCAAACAACCCCTTAATTTATCAAAAAATTATCATATATTTTTAGAATCACAAAATCATAATATCTAATTTTTTCTTTTAATCATAATATCATGGAATACTATATATTCATGTTCCAAGAGTACCCCAATAATAATTTCTTACCCTAAAATCCACCCCAATGATATATCTAACAAGCATCAAATTTTGATTTATCAAATATTCCATCATATGGGATCTAACCTTAATACCACATCATCTATCTATATATTATATAAGCAAAAGGGAGTTTTAATGAGAAAAATCCTATGAAACTCAAAACTCTCATATTATTTGATATGGTCGTTTACACACCAAAATATTATATTTAAAAGCAAGTACTAACAACTACTTCGTAAAACAGTGGTTAAGATTAGGTGTCGATTTTCAAGGACTAGTCGAGTTATTTTGATACAAAAATAATACTTAAAGTAATTTAAAAAAAAAAAATTTGATTTTGAAAACAATCAAACTAAAATTAATAACACATAAAATAAATAAACCAAAATAAGAAATTTCTCAAGTTTTGAATCCACCACTAACCTTATAATAATGGTTATTGTATTAGTTTTCAGAAAATCATTAATTTGGATAAAATAATATAAATTGATCACAAATACATTGTCAAGAGGATTTGTATATTATGACTAGACAGCCACGAATTATCTTCGATTAGCATGGATCGTCACCACTAAACTACACTAAACTAAGGTTGATATACGACATGCCTTATTAGGTATGACTCGTCTAACAATTTTAATACATAGTAATGAAAAAAATTGTATAATATGATTTGAATAAAACATTTATTACAAAAAAATATCTAAAAGTTACATAATTTATCCAAATCAAATCAAAATTAAAAATACTAAATACTACTTATCCCAATTATTTGGTCAAAATTTCATCTCTATCTTAAGAAGAAAATATTAGTCCCTAACACTATATAACTATCACACTCTAATGTATAGAAGTTACGCTCTCCCACTTCCCCTTTCCTTCTTTCTTCTCTCCTTTCTGCTTTAGGTCGAAACCCTCTGCTCTCTTGCCCTGAGCTCCCCCTCCTCTGCTGTCTGTCGCTCGCCTTTTATAGGCAAAACCCTGCACAATCAAACAACCATTATAATATATATATATATATATATATATATCAATTGAGGGCGACTGTTGCCGACACCCTCTTTTGATTTCTTTTTTTCTTTTTAATTTATTTTATAATAAATATAATGTAATATAATATCTATAATATATTATTTATATTAATTTATATACAAACACTCAAAATATATAAAAACACATGAAAATACATAAAATTATAAATGGACTAATAAAATATATATTTAGCGGGCCAAATATGTAATATTTAGGTTCCAATCACTATTTTTATAGATTTTTTTTAAAATAATTAAAAAAATAACTTATATTGGTTAGCTTTTATTGAATCATTTTAAAAATAATCTTATTATGTCTTGATTTACACAGTTCAAAAGGAAAATTAATTAATGTATTTACAATTTTGAAATTGAAAGTTTTTTAATAAGGGAAATATCAAATAAGTGGGTATAGAAAAAATCATTACAATTAGTGAAACTTTATAAATATTAATAACTAAAATTATAAAAATTTTCATAGATCTGTATTTTTTCCCCTGTCATCATTGTGATGTGATCATCCCTATTTTATATGTCTAAAGAGGTCCTTCACTTTACTTGAAAAAAATGTAGTGAAGAGATTGTCTCCCATCCACAAAGTGGAGTGTACGATACTGTTGAAGAAGTGAGATCCACCACGGATTCTGTTTTAATAATCTGAATCATTCATTGTATAGAACTTGTCGCATAATTTATTCTTGTAAAAAATTACGTTGATCGGATCAAATTTTTGTCAACAATTTATTTTGAAAATTATATTTACTATTGACAGAAATCTGATCCGATCAAGTAGCTATCGATATCCGATCAACGTGATTTTTTACATGAATAAAGTACTTAACGAACTTTACACAATAAATGGTTCGGATCATAAAAAAAAAAAAAAAAGGACCCATGGTGGGCCTAACAGCACGCTCCAGTTCGATTTCGGACTGGAAAGAAGCCTGACCAAAAAATATATATATATATATACAAGTTCATTTTTAAAAGTAAATATAGTATAAATAAGATGATTTATGAATTATTTAGGAAAACATGAGAACAAGATATGACTTAAATATTTTTAAAAAATTATTTAATTTAAAAAATAATCTAATTTTTTAATTTAAATAACATTACTCATCAAAATTATTAAAATCGAACTTGAAAACAACTTTAATGGGGACCATGTTAATTTAAACGAAACAAACACAAAAAAATAAAATCAAACAAACCCTACTACAATCAAATGGTTACTGACATACAAAATTTTCCATTCGATATCATAGCAGAGAGAATGTGGCATTGATGAGTAGTATTGATAAAATAAAAAAATAAAAAAAAATCTTTAGATACTTAGTTTACCGAATTTATCGAAAAATTATTAAATACTTTTAAAATATCACATGTCTATTTTTTTTTTTACCAATTATCATTTATTATGTCTTCTC